CCCAAATCCAACCAGTATTACTTTCTTCTATTGATAAGCTCGTCAAAGTCGAGACCCTACGCATAATTCTATTTATGACGTCATCAACCTAATATTCATTTAACCCGGGTTCAATAATAACTCATGGTTAAGATAGTCACGTGCTAAGCGCCTGTGCACCGGTTTGTAAGAAACGTCCAAATTAAAAAAAATAAGGATAAAATAAATAAAAATAAACGGCAACCTAACAGCGCAAAAGATTCCGTTTGATAAGTTAACGTCGTGAAGTAAAATCCAGTGTTTATGGGACACAATAACGCCGTAACGTAGCGACCTCGACGGTTTACTCGAAAGAAATTGTGGCCGTCCGATTTCATTTCAACGGTCAAAGATCAATAGATTGAGAACAGGAAACGGGAGGGTACAAAAATGGGGGTTTGAAAGGAGAAGAGAGTGTCTCTCTCGTATCAGAAGAAGAAGAAAACTCTCTCTCTCTCTCTCTGACTTTTCTCTCTCTAGTTTTGCATTTCTCATAAATTAAGATAATAATGCTTTGGGAGAATTTGGTGAGTGGAAATGCGGGGAAAGATTAATTTTCTGATGATTTGAAGTTTTCTTCAATAATTAATTATTCTACAATTTGGATGTTTAATTATGAGAATTTGTGTTTGGTTTTTGAATCGAAGGCACATTTTGGAAGAGACTGGCGTTGTTTTTTCAAGAATACTGAAGTTCGATATCGTTAGCAGATTGTGAGAAACTGACTCTCGAGATTATTTACTCTTCAGTTTTTGAGTTTAATTATGGAATTTACTTGAACGATTTGTTTTTTTTTTCTTTGAATCGCAGGAGCATTTTCAAGTGGATTGGAGTTGTTTTCAAAGAATACTGAAGTTTGATTTCATTAGCGGATTGTGAGAAACTGACGCACTTCGATTAGATATGAGAAATATTCGAGTCTAGAGGTTCGTAATCGGAACTGTTGTTCTGTTCTGGTGTGTTTCATTTGATATTCTTTGCGATTACATAATTTTTGTCTTTAACTCTGGTTTGACAGGTAGATTTCTGGGAGATTGGGAATCAGTCTCAGGATTGGTAAGATCGTGGTTACAAGAACTGAAAGGTGGAGCTCGGATTCGTTAACATTTCATCGGAAAATCCTTATCTGCCGAGAGATTTAGGAGCCAAAGGACTTGGATCAACAGAAGTTGTTGTGAACGCACCATTGTGAAGGGTAATTTGCGGAAGGATAATCTTTGATTCTGGAACCAAAGTTGATTATATAAAAGCCAGCCATCTCAGAAAAGATCAGACTATATAAAGTTCGGTTTGAATTGTTTCTCACGAAATTTCTGTTTTTTGTACTGCAGATTCAGGGGGCTCTATTTGGGGAGTTCATCAGCCTCTACAGAATCTGATATAAATTACCCACCCTGTTTTGGTGTTCTTCACATTGATTTTTCAGTACCAAGTTTCACCGATTGTTCGAATTTTGAGGAAAGAATCACAGTTTCTCTGTGAGGAACAGGAAAAGGAATTAAATCTATTGCAGGTAATGAAGGGCGATTGACGTCTGAAGACTGTCAAAATTCCATTCTCATCTTTTTGGGTATTTTCGCCCTTGGAATTATTTCATCAATTTGTTATCACCCTTTTCTCACCAAGATTTACCAATTTCTCATCTCTGGGATTTTCCTGGGAAATTCTGCAATCAAAATGTCAGCACTTTCTTCTCACCATGTTTTTTTTTTTTTTTTCAATTTCTCCCATTTTGTATCGTCCTCGTTCTGATTGTAAACAATTCTCTATTGATCATTTGATCTTCTTCTTCCAAAATTTCTTAAGTTAGCCTCTGTTGTACTGAATACTTCTTCAATCTCCGAAACGTTTCTTTGTATTTTTCACCAAAAATTCCTAAGCTGAATTCTTAACTATATTATTTTTCATCCATCTTGGTTGGTACAGATCCTGTCAAAACATTCTCTTCTTCGAATACACCGGAAATTATCTTCTAATTTCAGAAATGTAATTTTCTTCCAATTCTCATCAAATTAAATGATAAAAATATTCCGTTTTATTTCTGACCCCCAAGTATTTCTATCTTGTTCTAGTTTCCACTTATTTAAAAAAATTAAGCAGTATTTACATAACAGTTGCTAACTCCGTGATCGACAGGTGTAGAAAGGCGAGATGGAGAGGAGTAATCCCATCAGCAACAGAGACGGAGGACTGTTACAGAGATCCGAGTCAAAGTCGGGCGTAACGACGTCGTCAGACTTATTTTTGCAGTGGGGGAATCGAAAAAGGCTACGGTGCATGAAGGTCCAGGGGAAAGAGCACAGCAATAATGAGGCCGCCACACGGGTTAACCGGACCACAACCCGGGTCATTAGATCGGATCTGAATAAGAAGGATTCTGCTAATTCAAATCAACAGAATAATAATAAAAATGTGTATTTGAATCTACGTCAACAACGTCCGTCTTCTCCGTCTCATCATCACCATCGAATTTTGAGGTAATTCCTCTTATTTATTTTTGTTGTGTATTTATATTTGAATTGTTGGTTATCAGATTGGCTCTGGGGATTTGGATTTGAATTTGAATTGTTGTGTCGTGGGATTGCATTTTTCTTAAATCAATCTTGGTTTGGATCCATTGTGCAAGTGAAGGCTAAATACTTTTGTCAATTTGTCTTTTTTATAGGTTATGAATTTGAAATCCAATACCATCTTTGGCTAATACTATTTTGGGGGTTATAGTTCAGTTTAATTTTTCATTGCTAAAAGATAAAGAGAAGATTTAGGGTCCGACAAGATTTTTACTTTTGCTACTAAAAAAGGTTTTTATTTGGAAATTAATTCTTAAAGGAGTTTTTTTATTTCGAGAGTGCTTTTAGAGAAAATTACATTTTGAACAACATTTTTTATGAAAGCAGTTTTTGAATCCGTTTACCAAATTTTATGAAAGTGTTTTTCTCAGAGTTGAAGGAAACAGAGTTTTTATGAAAAGTGTTTTTCTCAGAGTTTTTATGAAAAGCACTTTTAAAATATGAAGTATTTTTATAAATTAGTTTTCAAACAAAAATTAAAATAGTTTCTTCCAAAAGCTCATTTACATAGAGCAAAAGTTATCTCAACCGAGCCTAATATTGCAATTGAATAGGGATGGATATATGAGTTTTCATCCTGTTTTTATTTTGTCCAGTCAAAGATAATTTTTTCATCCTTGTGTTCTTTTCTTGATAAAGTAGTAAATTCCCAAAATTGTTTTTCGAACCTCCTGTTTATTGCACTTTAATATAATATAACTAGGAAATGATTCTCACTGTAGCTGAGTGGGAATAGAAAAGTGGGTCCCCCCATTTCTTTCCTTTCTAATGCACTGTATTTGTTAGATCCAAATCTAAGCTTAATCCAATGGTTCACAAAACACCATCACCCTTTTTTCTCCATACGTACAAAAAGTAGTGAGTGATCAAATTAAAAGCAGCTGACCCAAATTAGAACCACACCCGGTCCTATCTTAACTACTCCTCATTTTTCTACGCGTAACCTCACCTGCGAATCATCCAGACTAGACTACCCCACAAACAGTATTATTATCATTATTCAGTAATTTCTTCTTTGCCCATGCAAAAGTTTTAATTTTTATTAATTAATTGTTAATTATTTATGTCTGGATACATGGTTTTGACTTTGTTTCTGGTTTCTATCTGTGTTTTAGGAATTCTGAGAGTTCAATTGGTATGAGGGGACAAAGCAACGGTGGTGTAAGGGGGGTGACTTCCCCGGACAAAAAAGGTACTGCCAACAATAACAGTAATCACCACAACCACCACAATAATAATAAGAAGAATAATGACAACCATCACGGCGGCGGCGTAGATGGTGGGTCGACGTCATCGGAGACACCCCAAGACGGCAAGAAAGGTGGATCGTCGGGAAGTGACGCGATGATCCCCCCATCTGTGTGGCCTCCTAAGTTTGTGATTCCCTTGACAAACAAGGAGAAAGAAGAGGATTTCATGGCCATTAAAGGTTCCAAGCTCCCACAAAGACCCAAGAAAAGAGCCAAGTTTATTCAGCGCGCCCTCAATGTAAGTTTTTCTTTCTCCTACTTTTTTCCTTGTTAATTTACCAGAATCTGTCTATATTTTTTGTGATTCAATAGGGAAAGTTATCATTCCAGAATCGAATGTGAGATATTTTTCATAGTAATTAATAACGATCTTAATTTTGGTAAATATTTAGACCATTTCTTTCCAAAGAATAATACAGTATTGAACAATAAATTATAATAACTGTAGCAATGTTTTGTTTGTACAAAAAGCAAAAGCATTTGGGGACAACTTTTAGGAGTTCCATTGGCCTCACCCAGAACTGTACGAGTTGGATCAGGAATAAAGTAGGGTATATTAAATTAAAATTAAATTAAATAATAGGGAAATATATTAAAGGTTTAGAGGATTAATAAAAAAGTTGTATATTTTAAAGAGAGAGTTAAAACAATAAAAAATTGAGGGGTGGTAATGACGGTGTGTGGGCCCTGTAACGTTGTCTTGGCACAATCAATTGCTATTGCTATGCGTAAGGTTAACCAAGTGGCATACACGTATTCTCTTTTTTAAATTGATTTGCTTGAAATTTCATTGATGAGTAGTGTTATTTAGTTTTATTGTGGTTATAATATCAGTCTATATTATTTTAGTTGATAGATTGTGTTTGACACCCATTTTAATGGGTTGAAAATTTTTGGAATAGTGATTGATGGAAGAATGTGTGGTTGAAAAGTGATGAAAAGTTTCAAATTTGTGTGTTATATTATTTTATTTGAAGAATGTGTGGTTGAAATAAAGAAAGAGAAAAAAAAATGAGATAGAGAATGTGTGCCAAATAGGGGCTAGGGTGTGTTTGAGTTACATTATTTTGTGTATTTTGGAATAGTAGATTGATAGAGAATGTATGATTGAAAATGAGTAAAAAATGAGAATGAAAAGTGAAATTAAATGACTCATTGAATTATACTTATCATTTAATGTTACATTTGTGTCATATAGACTGAAGTTATAATTTTAATGGGGCTAAATAAATAGTATTATTCATTACTGACGGCTAATAAAAATATCACCGTAACCACGCTTCAGAAAGATCGTTTGGCTCAACAACTTCTATCTCAAGTTTGATCGGATTAAAGTCATATTTTTAACAAATTTTAATAAAAATTAATGAAAGATATGGCAGATAAATTATAGATCTTATGAAAGATGTGATTAAAATTAATTATTGACTTTGATTTAGATTAAAATCTATCAATCATGGTTCTATACTTGTTTTTACTTGTAAGTATTTTGGTATTAATCAATCATTATCATTGAGTCAGTCCCTATTTGACAATTTAATCCAATTTTCTTTGGACTTTATATAACTCTTGAAGAATCAACCACTACACGTGTTTGGTTATGTGTACAAGTAAAGAAGGTATTCAATTGTTAAAATGAGTGATTTAGTTTATAATTAAGTCAGACTTATAAGTAATTTTAATTGTTTATGCAGTTGGTAAGTCCAGGGGCATGGCTATGTGACCTGACTCTAGAAAGATATGAGGTCAGAGAGAAAAAGGTCACAAAGAAGGTATTCAATTTTCTGTTTTATTTTTAAATTATAATTAATTATATATAATTTGGTTGGAGTAGGAGTTGGGCATATATATATTTATTTTATTTATTTCAGCGACCACGAGGATTGAAGGCAATGGGAAACATGGAGTCGGACTCAGAATAAAGGACGTGAGGTGCGGAGGAAATTAAATTACACGAACTTGTGTATTTTGTATTTCTTTGGATCCATTTTCAAATTATTAATATTTAATTATGATGCATTTTGTTCAAAAAAATTTTTTTTTTTGATAAACAAATAAACAATCATGGTTACAAGTTATACGATTTACATATCTTAAATTAATATAACATAAAAACTGAAACAAATATGAGATCCAATTAATTGTAAATAAATAAAATTAAATACAAATTTCAACTACGGAGGAATTAACTTGTAAATAAAAATACATTAATTAAAAAAATCTTTATAAGTTAAAAATACATTAATTGAATCTGTCACGTGCTGTTAGATAATATTATTCACTATTGAATGATAGATCCAAATCAGGTAAACGCATACTAAAACATTGCTAGTGTTACATAATACATAGTATTATTAAATAATAATAATTATAAGTAATGTGTAGCATTATTGTCTAATTGTGCAATTGTCTTTTTGCGTATGGTGTAGATGTCAATAGACATAGTTGGAAGTGTTAATTCCCATGCCATTGGATTTTAGTTCTATTAGGCCATATATTTATAGTAAGTTGTTGATTAGGATATTCACTTATTTTCAAATTCATTTTTACAGCATTTATAAAACATTCCAAAATATCGTGCAGCACACGTTTAGCTGTGACTAGTATTATAAAAAGAGAGACGTTATTTGTAATCAATCAATTCTATTTGGGGGAAGTGCACGGCAGGTCATCAATTATTGTCAAAATAGCAAGATGCTCTCTTCGTTCAATTATAATTGCAAAATTAATGCTTCCAGTTCCAGAAATCACTCGATTTTTTTTTATAAAAGGGAAATTATATTCACATCATAATCTTTATTTCTTGAACCATATTTTAATTGCACTTTATAAAATTGTTACGTGACCATGACATTCGTAACTTTCCGAAATTTGACTTGCCAACGTAGAATTTTAGATCGACTAACAAAAATTTAAAGAAAAACATATTTTTACAAAAAAATTTGATTATTTTATAAATATTTAAATGCTTTACGTTCTATGGAACTTATCATACAAATATTGAAAATAGATAGAAACCACATCTTAGATTTTTATTTATTTATTTTTTTTTCTGTGGCACGTTAGCAGTGGCGGACCCATCATCAAAGTTTAGCAAGGGCGGCGACGGTTGATCGTAGACCATTGACCGTAGACCATCGATCGTATAACAAGAATTGAGAAAATCCACAGAAGGAGAAACTGAATAATTGGCTTTAAAATCAAATTCCCTTTTGTCATCAGACAAATTAGGATCCCCACAGCAGCTTGTAACAATGCAATTATCAAATATATGGTAGAAAACAGTGATAAATCTCATTAGCTTCCATGATTTGAACACCAAAACTGTTATAAAAAAGACCCAATCGGGAGTGTGTACATAAGGAACTACCTAATAACTAGTTCACAGATGAAATCCAATATCGTAAATAATATTATGTAATCTGAAAATTTTCAAATAACTTCCTGTTTCATTCTTCATTTGTCCTCCTTTCTCCACAATTAGACAAAAGGAATGGGTTTCAAATCACAACTCAACCACATTTAAACAAACCCATCAATTTTCAGTTTTGCCTTTGNACCACATTTAAACAAACCCATCAATTTTCAGTTTTGCCTTTGACACATATGACTGCACCTCCAATTTCAGATAAAATGAGGCAAAAAAAATTATAAAATCAATGGAAACTGAAAGTACTAAAAAAATTGAAATTTAATTCATTTATGGCCAAAAAAGTCAGCGACGATTTGATTCATTTCTTTCCTTCTCAATTTACTGCTTTAGCTTCTCGACAAGCTTATCAAGAGCCGATTGCACAGCATCACGCCCTCCAATCAATAGCCTAGTAAATTAGCAAAATAGACATAGCAACTTGGCAGAAAAAAAATAACAAAAACATAAACAAAAAGGCGTAGGGGGTAAGTACTTACAAGTTACAGGCTTGCAGCCCGTCGGCGACTTGGCAGCAGCAACCGACGGCAGGTCTGGACATCTTATGATGTCTGGGTAGTTCGCAAATAGCCGACAGTAGAGCAGGGAGAAGAAGAAGTGGATAACCGACCGAAGGGGCGAAGTTTTAAGGTGAAGGGTTTGGAAGTTTCACGTTTGGTAATTGCTTACAAACAGGCGCCGAGTATTATGGACCATGGATTAGCCGATTATTGGGCCTAATATTTAAAACAAAGGCCCAACTATCCCAACCCAAAACAAACAAAAGGGCCAAAAAAGAGCCCAAATTCAAAAATCCATCGTCTTCTTCCCTTCTAATGTCCCTGACCCTGCAACTCAAAAATTTCAGACGTTTTCTTCATTTCATTTTCTTCTCGGCGGACGGCGAGTCGACGACTAACAGCTGAAGCTCCCAGCAGATCCAGCACGGATGATCGCGTGGGCTAGCTAGGTGTTGGGTTTGCCCCTGCACGTTAGTGACGAAGATCATATTTTGTTGAAAGATTCTTTTCTTTTATTATAAATTTCTCTTCGAATTGACAAGGATCGTAGTTTTTCAGGAGATTATTTATCCCTGGTTTGACAATCATTATTCGAGAAAAATGGAGCTTTGAATAGTAATTTTCAGGAGACTATGCTCTAAAGGATGCTAGTAACCATACATGAACAAATAACAGGATGTGCTTTTCCAAAATATATTTGAATTTCACCCACGACTTTATCCAAGAGCTACATCGCGTTCAAGATAATCCCATAAAGTAGTTATTTTTACACCGAAACAGTTAGTGTGCACTCCCCCTTTATGTAACAAAAGAAACACGGGTAGAATAACCTACTTCACAACGTTGAATGAAGCACGAAGGTTGGAAATCATGACTGGGCACTCTCCCTTCTCATCATATACAGCAAACTCTCCTCCCGACAAGTCAATGTCGTTGAATTTTGTTCCTTCAATTTACGCAAAAGATAAAACAGATGAATAAAACAAAATAAACAAGAACAGAATCTTAAGTCAGCAATTCAAACTTGTAAGATAATGATATTGTACACAACACACATTTACGGATTCTAATCGAATGTTGAAGGGAAGAAGCAGATTATGAAATTGACAAAACATCATTTGAGCATAATGTGAAGACAATTTAAAGAAAATATTGCTATCTTGAAACTTTCTATTGTTTATTTATTTGGCCTTTTCTCTCTCAACAACATTCCTTGCAGAAAATAATTTGATCAGGGTCTGAATCCCACAGAATGTGTCACATGCGCTCATATATTTAGCATGCATAGATAATCACAAACAACCAGAATAAAAGTAATTTTAATGACGAATAGACTTGTGCCCTGTTTGGAAGGAATTCTTAAAAATTCTACAGTAAATCAATTCTCATTTTCAACCACACATTCTTCAATAAAATAATATTTTCCATCACATCAATAATTTTTTCTTCTTTTTCAATAACACATTTCCCATCATATCACTATTCAAAATCAATTCTTCCCCCTAATTCTCATTTTCAATTACATATTCTTCAATAAAATAATATTTTCCATCACATCAATAATTTTTTCTTCTTTTTCAACCACACATTTCCCATCATATCACTATTCAAAATCAATTCTTCCCCCCAAAAATCTCTCCCAAACAAGCACTTGTTATACAAGAGCAAGGGCGGAGATGTGAATTATACCTTCTGTGCAAAATGGACATCACTTTCGTTCAAGCTCACACAAGTCTCTTTCTGGGTTACTTCACAATTTCCACATTTCAACTGCACAAATTGAATAAAATAAAAATACATAGCCCATGTTTGAGTCCCATTTTTTGAAAAATCATTTTTTTCTCAAACTCATTTTTAACGACACATTGTCCTCATAAAATAATTTTATATGTAAACTCAAAACTTTTTCGACTTTTTAACCCCACGTTCCTTTAAAAAATTACTATTACAAAATGCAGCCCCAAAAATGAAGCTCAAACAATCTCTTAGGGTGCGTTTAATTGCAAGGGTGGAAAACGGGTGGAAAGAAAATGAATTTTAGTGAAAGTAATTGTTTAAAAATTATTTTGTAGGGAATTGTTAATTAAGTGTATTTGATTGGTATAATTTTCCACCCGAAAAATTTTTAAATTTTGGATTTTTTTTGTGTTCGTTTGGCTTTATTTTATATGAAAATTGTTAATTAAAGTGAATATTTTTTTTCACAATTAGTAAAAAATTTGTTTCCATTGCAAAAAAGTTAAAATAATAATAATAATAAAAAACGAAAAAAAAAATTTCCTAAAAAAATCATTTTTTTTTATCAAAGTTTAGTGTTCGTTTATCTTTGTTTTACATGGAAATCGTCTATTAAAGTGAATTTTTTTTACAATTGGTTATGAAATTTATTTTCATTGACCAAAAAAAAACAACAAAAACGCCAGCAGCACCTGGAAAAGCTTTTCTCTCATCAATTGGCAGGAAATCAGGCGCGTGGAGAGGTAAGGAGAGGTAAAGTGGAAAAAATTTTGCTTAGAAAAAAATGCCAATCAAACAAGTCAAATGGGTGTTTTCCATTTCCCATTAAAAATTTAAGTTATCAAACAGGGCCTTAAAGCTCAACATGCACATAATTTTTCTGTAAACAATGATTGCCAAACCAGCTTTAAGTACATTAAGAGCATGTTTGAGAAGTATTAAACGGTTTAAATTATAAATAGATGAAAACGAGTGATGTATGGATAGTACATGTGGGTCCTCAAAATATTTGGATAAAGAGTTGCTTGAGAGTTTATAAACACGATTCAAACATAGGAATGAGACTTGATTTGTAAAAATTGCTTCAGATGATCCATATGAAATCTGACTCCTATATAAGAATGAAAATGAGGCTGTCTTCAACTATAATAAGGACATAAAAAAGAGAGAAGAATATCAGAGAATAAACTAAATGAAGACAGACGCCTTCAAGGGGAAAAAATAACGGTGGAGAAGAAGACTACAACATATATAT